TATTTATTTATTTATTTATTTAAAACTTTTATTTATTTATTTATTTATTTTAATATAGATATATAAATATATATTATATTAAAAATAATTTATGGATTTATTTTAGTATAAAAATTTTATTTTATATATATATAATAAATATAAAATAAATATAAAAAATAAAGAAAAAAGTAAAAATAAAGAAAAAAATATAATAAATTCAAATATGGAAGTCAAAAGTTGAGTTAAGGTTAAGTCAAAAGTTAGAAGGTGAAGAGTAAAAAGAAAAAAACAACATAAAGATAGAAGGAACTTACTTCAACTGTGCTCTATTTGAAGGCATCAGACCTCCATCTATTCCAAAATTTTCCAAAACTTTAAATCAGCTCCAAATCTAATGTCTCTTACTCAATTGAAAACCCAACTTAAAGGCGTTTTTTTTCTAAAAATCTTTGTAGCAATCCAATACTTGAACCACAAGAAATGCCTTTTCAAAGTTGAATAATTGGGACTCCTAGAGAAGCCTACCCCCCTTCACTTGGAAATTTACCAAAAATTCAAATTGGCTTCAGTTTCTATGAAATTAGTTCCCTTGGAAGCTCAACTTATAAACCTTGTGTTTTTTCTAAATTATAGAATGATCCAATTTGAAGGCGCTGAGGATTGTCTTTTCAAAATTGAATAATCTAGACTATCAAGGTAGCCGACCCCCTTGCACTCAACAATTCACCAAAAATCTATTCTAACTCCAAATCAAATAAGCCTTGACTCTTTGTAAAGTTGACAACAAGAGGTATGTGTTAAAAAAAATCACTTTCAAAATCATAAAAACCACAAATTGATTGAAGAAAATTCGACGCCTATCAAATCTCTTTGACTATTGAAGAGTTTGGAAACCACTAATTCCAATGGAGTGCCTTCTAACTACAACAAGTACGACCTATAGTACAAATCAATGCCCTCACACGTTCTCAAGGTATACAATGATATTTAGAATCCAACATAAGATTAGAATTAAGGTTTGAAGCCAAAATTTGGCATGACTTTATCTTTCACCCAAAGAAAAGAGAGCAAGAGCTTGAGCAACTAAACCCTCTTATACAAGTAAGTAGAGACTCATAAGAAGCAACCATATATCCATGTAATTTCATTATTAAGGTTGATGGCTACTATAAGTGGTCAAAAAAATACTTTTTAATTAATCTAACTTTACTATTATATTCAAAATATTTTTTTATGCTAAGGTCAATTACTCAAATGCCCTTATCCAAGGTCATATGCAATTTTTATAAAGATAATTACTTCCAAAGATTTTAGCAATTATTGAAAACTCCTTCAAAAATAAAATCTTTATGGCTTTACTTGTATTTTAGTAGAAAAGATGTTGATCTTATTTTCTTTACTCTTTGGAATGAATCCAATGCCACTATTGCATTTGAAAGACTTTCATTAATTAGAAAAGCTCCTTTGCTATTTGAATTTGTTGCATTTCAAAGAAAACTTCAAAATTATTATTACTAATTTTTATTTAAATCTTTTAAAAAATAATAATTTTAATTTCTTCTAAATCATATAAGATTATTTTAGGTGAATTCATAGGCTTTCAATCAACTCTTATACCAATAATTAAAAACCTCTAAATTATTAAAACTTACTAATTTGCTATTCTCATTTTTTTAATTTTATCACTTTACTCCTTATTAATCCAATTCAAGGATTTAGGTTAGGATTTTTACTATCAAAGGTTACAACCTTCAAAATTCTATAAAACTAGTTTTTACTTATATAAATCATGGTCTAATTTGTTTAATTATTATAAAATAAGAAGAAAAAAAATTAATTTTGGAGTATAATTAAAAATTCACACTAATATGAAGAGATTTTTGATGGCTTCAAATGTGGAAGGCAATCAAAGACTTTTTACAATCATGTGATATTTGTTCAAGATCTAAAACTCTTCACCATTGACCTTATGGACTTCTTTAGCCATTACCTATTCTAAAACAATTACAATCTTCTGTTTCAATGGTTTTTATCATAGATCTTCCAGTCTGGAGTTTATATGATTTTATATTTAAGATAGTGGATCATTTTACCAATATGGCATACTTTGTACTATATTCAAAATCTATCAAAAATAAAAATAAAAATTGCTAAGTTTTTTTTTGACAACATCTATTGCTATCATAGATTATTCAAAGATATTATATTGAATAAGGGAACTCAATTTGTATCAAGATTTTGAAAAAGCCTTTTCAAGATTCTAAAGGTAGATATTAAGGTTTCTTTAGCTTTTGATCTTCAAACTCATGAGCAAACAAAACAGATGAATTAAGTCCTTGAGCAATATTTGAGGTATACCATCAATTACCATTAAAATGATTGAATAATTCTTTTGTCATTGGTAGAATTTACATACAATAATTTGATACATTCTTCTACTTAACAAACACTTTTTTTTGCCAATTATGATCATTATCCATGATTTGATACTTTTAACTTTTCAAAAGTTAATAATCTTATAGCAAAAGATTTAGCAAATTATTTATTAGAGCTACATACAACAATAAAGGCAGAGTTAAAAGAAGCTTAAGAATGACAAAAGATCAATGCACATGCCTATCACAAGGAACAACCACAATTCAATGTAAGTAACAAGATATGGCTACATTGTCACAATATGAAGACTACTTTTCCTTGTGACAAATTGGACTATCATAGACTTAGACTTTTTCCTATTTGTGAATAAATCAATCTTGTTGCTTATCAATTATATCTTTTGGAGTTAATGAAGGTCCATCTCATATTCCAGGTATTTCTTCTTGAGCCATATAAGACAATAAATATCTTAGGAAGAAGATAAATGCCACCTCCTCCTATAAAAGTAAAGAATAATCAAAAGTTTGAAGTAAAAAAGGTCTTAGATTCAAGGCAATACTGAAATAAATTGAAATATCTTATTTATTGGCACAGATATGATATTAGAGAACATACATAGGAGTAAAATAGAATCTTATAAATAAAATCAAGAAAATTAAGGTTTTTTATTGACATCCATGAAAATCAAGATGAAGAATAATAAGATCTATAATAGATGATGAGTACTCCTCATGAAACTCATCCCTAGAAGGGGAGATAATGCCACGGACATACATAGTTATTCTAATATTTACTTATATGATTAAATAGAAGTAAGTAAAAGTAGATTTATTTCATGATATTTTTTTGAAAAGCTTCCTAGAAGCTTCATGGATATTGCTTTGACTTTACATATATTTGTAGTTCATTGGTTGGTCAACAAGTTAACCACATATTGATAGCTTGCAAAACAAGCTAACTATGTAGTACACAAATAAAAAATTTACCTTACAAATTAAGATATATGTCTTGCATAGTGAAAACATTTTGGAGGTCCTTACCACATATCTCCTAGTTAAGAGTATATATGGAGGCAAGAGTAAAGCCTTCTTTATTCTTGTCAACACCTTTTTAGTCTTTAGTCTTATTTCAAGACTTTATAGTCTTCTTGTCTTTGATAATTGCCATTCTAATTTAATATTATATCATATTTGAATGACTTTCTAATTCTTTTGAATGACACAAGTATATATTGAGGATTTCTTTCTTCAAGATTCATGTCTTTGACACTAATTCAAAAATACTAATGAAAAAGAATGGAGAGAAGAAATGAGATTGTATAAAGTAAAACAATATATATGACATTTTGCATAAAATATATTTATAAGATATTTATGCTTTGATTTAGTAATTTGGATTTTACAAAAAAAACATATTGATGTTGGAATTACTATATAATAAAATAAAAGTACATTTAACTATTGTTTTGATAAATTTGGGATAAAAATGAAAAAGATATGCAAATTAATTTGATTAAATAAACATCCACAACTTAGATAGATATTTTTCATATTAATAAATAAATAAATAAATAAATCTTCTTATTTATAATGATAATAATATTTTATATCTTATTTCATCTTTTTTTATTTGTGCTTCTTGTTATATTAGACTTTTGTGTTGAATGATTTTTTTTATGTATAAATTGATCTATTTATGAGTAAAATACAAAGATGTGAATTAAAAAAATTATATATTTTTTAAAGATTTGTGAAATCAATGATAAATAGTTTTGCATTTGATTTTAGCAATACTATATATATATATATATATATATATATATATTAGAAATTTGTGTCATTGGCCACAAAAAATATTTTTTCAAAAATATTTACTTCCAAACTCCATACCTAATGAACTTGCATTATTACTTTTGGCAATTTTTAGCAACAATATGGAGATTTTGATATTGGCTTGATCAAAAGTTGAATTATTGCTTCACTTTTGATTCACTTGTGATGAGAGTAATGAGAGATGTAGCCAATTAGAGATAGTTTTTGTCTCTTTTGGTTTATCCTTGAGTTGTTTTATATAAGAGATATATAATATTTTTCTTTCTTAAATTCTCAAATTGATTTGGTATCGATAGTAGTAACACCTTTTAAATTGTTTATATATATATATATATATATATATATATCTATGAACAAATTTGAGTGTACAACAATAGAATACATTTGATGTTATTTTATACATTGGACACACTGAATGACAAGTTTTGTAGATTCGGTTGTGAAACTTATTAAATAGTATGATTTTATTTGACCACAAAATTTATCAGATGTCTTGGTATTAAAGAAAACGTTTTTTTTAATCACATTTAAATCCGCCATATCTCATCATCATAGATTACGGTACATTTCCTTCACATGTTTAGTGGCCAGAATTCAAAAGAATAACATGTCACATTAAAGGCTACTCAACACATCCACAACATTCATTGTAATTTATGATGATGTTAAATTCTGATATTTGACTCCATATGTTTACTTTAATGGATAGACATTGCTGTTCACAATGCAAAAGCTCACATTTAGCACAAAGAAATATAAAACCTGAATAGTTTAGGCGTTTATGTACTTATAAACCCCACTTCCAAGATAGAAAAAAACGGACCAGCGTTTATTTGCATATCACTCCCAAAGTATTCTTGCATGTGTTGACTCGGCTTCAACTAGTAAACTGGAAAGTTTCCAAAACACATTTTCATGCAAAGACTGGACCACAATTACTGAAACACGTGGAAATGAGTCTCAAGGTAACTTTGATGAGCAAACCGAAACCCTAACTATTCCAGACCTGTACAGGATCGTCACCGAAGTTCAATGGGAATCACAGCGCAATGACAATTCGGAACAAAGGAAAGCACTGGAGCGACAAAACCGAGCAAATGCTTGCATGTGCAACGACAGTGCATCTCCGAACCCTGATCCAGGAGAATGTAGCAATGGGCCTCAGGATCACAGAGCAAGGACTCGGTATCAAAATTGCGCAAGCTGAAGAAGAGAGGAAGAGGAAGAGCAAATTACATAATGTCCGATAGAAGATAAACTTCACTGCCCCTGCTGATGATGTCCTGTAACACGATGATCACTTTCTCAAATCCATGAAAGAATGAGAACACAGCCCTATCAGGGTATACTAATTCGAACTAAATGGTGACAACGCTATACCTATTGCCCATGGGCTAGAAGGCCGAAGTCCAGGTGGCACAAGCCGAACCCACCTGGGCCGAGGAGTGGCAACCTAGTTACTACGCTGCTGCAAGCTTCAAAAATCGCCCCAATTGGGAGCGCAAAAAAGAAAAGAGGAATTTTCGAAGGTGGGGGGGGGGGGGGGGGGAGAAACAAGACGGAAAAAATTGAGCTGCGGTGAGGCCAAGACCATGCAAAAAGATGAAAAGGGATAGCCAGCCATCTGTGGGTCTCGTCATCTTGTCATCCACTCCACGGGGTATTTTTCAAACCCACGACCAGGGATCGTCGACCACCGGACGACCACCCAGAAGTCCAGCGTTTTGATCGACTCGTTCCAGTTGCGCCAGTTTTGCTCCTCCTCGCGGACGCTCCAGCGCGTTTCTGAGCTCAGTCTGTGAAGGATCGCCAGCCGCATTTGCTTCCCTTGGACACGGACGTCACGGACCACACAGTGCTGGTCGCCTTGCGGGCCACGAGTGAGGATAATGTCGCCTTTGACGGGCCAGGGTGGGATGGATTTCTGGTTGCTGGACATGGAGTGGGCGCCCGTCATTCGGGAAGCGTTGCTGCCGCGCGCTTGGTTGGGCATTTGGACCGCGGGTGGGAGGGGCTCCATCCGATCGAAGTGCTCGCCTCGGTCCCCATCCAGCTCTTGAAGAGTGCGAGGTGAGGGAGCAAGGTTCATGACCCTGGGGGATTCCTTCACCCGAGGGGATTCAGTCACGGGTATGCGGGTGCTGACTCCAGGCCCGACAGCTTGGTGGTGCATCACATCGTTCTGGTGATGATGGGGTTGCTGGGGTTGTTGCTGTTCATGACCCTGGGTGTTGCCGGCTTCTATGTCGCTCCTGCTCGCCGCAAAGGCAGTCAGTAAGCGGCGAGGGGGTTGAATGGCGGATTGACGAGCGTTCAGGGGCTCCGGCTCTACGTGACCTTGAAGCATGTGCACTACTCGACTCATGGGAGGGCGTGCTGAGGGGTCATCCTGAATACAGAGAAGCGCGCAGTGGATGGCTCGCATAGCGTCTTTCTTGTGGAAATATTCAACCTCCTCAACGTGCAGGCGCTTGTCGAGAAGCTCCATGGTGCGCCCTTCGCCCATGAGCTTGAAAGCCCATGCGGGGAAGTACCATTGCTCTTTGCCTAGGGAGAAGTTGGTGTTTTCGCGCCCGCTGATAAGCTCCAGCAGCACCATGCCGAAGCTGTAGACATCCGTCTTGGCAGTCACTGCAGCGTGAGGAAGTAACCATTCAGGAGCTAAATAGCCGGGTGTGCCACGCATGCTTGTGACCACTCTGCTTTGCTCTCTGTCCATCAACTTGGCAAGTCCAAAATCTGAAAGCTGCATCACCAAAGAAACATATCAAATGTGATATGATGTAATATCAAATATTTGAATCGTGACGACTGTATGCAGCCATCTTTCTGAACTAAAAAATAAAAACGCAAACACCACCTCCAAAACCCCCACGGAAAACGTGAATTACAAGAGACACAGCACCACAAAACCACCAAATATTACAAGAGGCGCTTGCCAACACCTACGACAACACTCGGAATTGTGCACATCTGCGGTACAGTGTCTGAGGGTGAAGTTCAACCTTAGGGCAAAATTGGTGGTCCAGAAGAATGTTCTCTGGCTTAACATCCAAATGAATGATATGATCGCTGCATTCCTCGTGAAGGTAGGCCAAAGCTCGGGCTGTACCCAGAGCGATGTTGAGGCGCTGCTCCCAATCCAGCAGCTTCTCCCCTTGCTTCTTGCCAAACAGCCAAGCATCCAGGCTGCCATTCGGCATGAACTCATACACAAGCAACCGGTGAGTACCTTCAGAACAAAAGCCATGCAGACGGACCAAATTGAGGTGACGAATTGCACCCATGGACGCTACTTCAGCCCTAAACTGCTTCTCTCCCTGCACAGATGTTTTCTCCAGCATTTTCACCGCCACACGTGCACCATTGGGTAGTGTCCCCTCGTAGACGGATCCAAAGGCACCATCACCCAGTTTCCGTGAAAAATTCTTCGTGGCCTTTTGCAATTTGGAGTAGGAAAAACGAGGTGGCAGACTGGGAACCGTGTCCAAAAAATCGGCGGGGGTTTCATCTTCCTTCGATCCGGCACATAGAATTGCCAGCATCGATAACCCTGCCAACGTAATAACTGCTCCTAAAAGAATTCCTAACCAGTGGGCCTGCAGCCGATCCCACCAGAAAATTCGTCAGAAAGCACTCAACCAGCACCATGAAGCCCTTTTCCGTCACAAACAGCTGCAGCCTTGCTCATAGCAAATGATGTGTGTTGCAGCTGAAGTAAAGTAAAAAGCTTGATAGATATCAAATGTGTAATATGAGAAAGGCGGCCGGAAAATGAGCAGCAAATCTTACACAGCGCAATTGTCCATGGCCACATCGACGATACGACAAGCGTGTTGCTTCTTCAAATTCAGCCTGCAGACAGAGTTTCAAACAATCACGTGATCGTTAGCAATCAGACCTATTTTGTGGACTAGTCAGAAACATCAAACTAATAATTTGTCAGGGTGCACGCAAACTAGTTACCTACCCGCAAAGACCTTCGTCCAAGAGGACCCACAGGTGGTGTTAAAACTCCACTACCAGGATTCTCCCTCAAATTAGACAATGTAACAACAAAACTCGACTGATAGGCATGAGTAGAATTCGATTGGTCGCCAATACTTGAGCGCGAGGAAGAATATGAAGCAGGCCTCAATACGAATTTGAACTCTTGCGGCATCTCCAAGCGCATCTTGCTGTAGAAACGACGTTCTAAACGTAATGGTGCCAATGCCTCGAATGTGGTCGTTCCCAACGAAGAGGTAGCATTCATCCAGCAAAGATTCGTCCCAGCATCAGATTCACCCGCGCATTCGACTTGAGTGTGCAATGACGGCAGCAGGATTCCTACGTCGTGGCTGAGGTTGATAGGAGCTCCTGGAAGCCATCCGAGGTAAGCTGACAGTGCCAGTGTTGCATCCAATTGCAACTTTGCGTAGCCGTTACTACGATCTCGAGTTCCTGTCCAAACATCACCAAGTGAGGAGTCGACAAGTAGGCAAGCCCCGCGACCTGATGGGTCATGGGCGCCATGGCCCAGAGTGGCAGCAATACATTCCACTACCTGACTCCGGTTTCGAACAGCACCGTCACCCAAATCTCCAACCTGCACGAGGAATTCACAACATACAAAAGATGAACCCAAATCCGCGCGGTGACCAGCGATTCCACCCAATACGTTACTATTGTAGTTCACCGTCGCCGTGTACACTACACCAACTACCTCCGCCCTCTTCTCCTCTGCCGTGTCGGGCACAAAAACTTGAATCACAGTTTCAGCTCCCAACGCAGCACTACTCAAACTCAAATGCAGCTGCAACACCACCACTGCTACTAGAAACGTCCGCATCGCCAGCGCCGACGACCTCCTGCCCCCGCCTTGCCACTTCATCTTCGGCAACTCATCAATCGTACCTTCTCGTAGTCCTCCTGACCACGGCTAACCCACCCCTAGCCAAAATTTCAAATCCCACCCACTGAATCTCTCGAAGCCAGCTTTCACACCAATCGTGATGTGCTTGCCGTGGTCACCTCACCACTTCCGTCGCCATCTCCCCCTCGTTCTCCATCCCTTTTCCCATCACTTGTAACGCCTCCATTCCCTGTTAATCATCCCACCACCATTATTATCTCCAAAAACTAATCATAAACTTATCATCACCACCACTGCTCTACCCTTACGTTGCTGCAACCAAAGCTGATGTCTCTCTCTCTCTCACTCACTCACTCACTCTTTCTCTCTTCACACCTGCCACCGTCTTGATTCCCAGCGGCCAGACTCTCGTGGAAAGGATGGTGACAGGCGGGTTGCAGCACAACAGGACGCAGCAGCGGAGGTGACAGCAGCTACGAACTAGATAAAATCCACAGCTGGCTGTGACAGCATTAGGAATGTGCACAGTCTAGTGGAGTGATGGAAAGAAAATAGGTGGTGCTGCGATTCCGCGTGCTAACATCAGCGAGTCCTCTGGCCACCTCAGAGATCACCCGGTCGTTGCATTGGTGTCACTTTCGATTGTCACGACCACTCTCCCCAGCCAGAGCACGCTGGGATTCGGCGACCATCACACGTGTGGCTCCACTTGAGCCACACTCACCCGCCCAAAGCCCTGTTCCTTGCGAGCACTCGTGACGGAAAGTTTAACGCCGCAAGAACGGAAAGGAAAGAGTGAGCTGTTGTCGGTCACTTCCGCACTGTTCGTTGCGGCTACGGGGGTAGAAGTAGTTCATAGGGCGAACGAGCGGGCAACCGCCGGCGCCTCCGGGGTCGCTGGATTGGATGGGCTGCATTGCAGGGCGTCCATTAGAGGATTACACTTTGCAGTTGGCGTGAGGTGGCTTTCTGCTTGTTGGATTGCTCTACACTATTTGATCTCACGATTACAGGGAACTTTTCGGTAAATCCGGTCCTTGAATTATTATTTTTTAATGCTTGCTTTACGACGGCTTGGAGAGATTTTTTTAAAAAATAATTTAATATTTCCTGTCATTGTATCACTGTAATTTTAACACCAGAAAAAGCCTCAGTTGTGCATAAGCGACGGTTTACAAGAAACTCAGATCTGCATCATTTTTTTTGTTTGATTAGTTTGATTGTAGACAACACAACATCGACTGATTCATGCGAGGAACCATGCACAATCGGGAAGTTTCAGAATGTAACCTCCAGCTTCAGGGGCATGTGGAAATGACCTGATCATCGAAGTGAAACATTCTGCAGGTGCCGAGTTAGTGTGCCTAAAACTCAGCATGTGTAGTTTACGAAGGGAAGTTTACTGAATGGATGTATTTACACAGCCAATGCCATACGATGTTTCACGTTTCCACCTTCCCTGCTTGCTACTAAAGCATTTGGAACGACTTGGGTAATTATCTACACTGATAATTATTTGGATCCACACAAGAATCTGTGATAGGAAGAACATATGAATGATTCATACTCTTTAAGCAGTCCCTAAAATTTCAGATTCAACATCCTCGACGCAACCAAGGAAATCAGCACTCAAAATTATCCGATAGCATTGGACTTGCAACGAGTTGGTTGTGAGAAGATATCTCTGAGTGATGTGGAAGTTGGTGATTCCTGTAAAGAGGACTCTTTGCAAGAACACACAAGAAAAAATTGGTTGCTTTAGTGGTGAGTAGGGCAATCGCTTCATATCCCTCGTAGTTGTAAAACCAATATTCAGTTTGATAAAATCGGAGAATCTAGGCTAAATTTTCATGCCCTACATTCTCCACATCCCATCATTCCATCGCATCAAACGTATTTGACTCGCTAATTGAATAGCTCTCCCACACCCTTTTCCAGCTACTTCTCCAAACGTTGTCAGCTTCTGCGACTCATGCTCTCCGAACAGCACTGAGCTATGTAGCAACTCCCCCATCCTTCATACCACATGCCTGGTTCGAACAAAACCACAGGCAACATAATTCGTCATTAATGTGTAACCTCTTGTCACTACAATCTACTCTCCTCTCAGAACACAAAATCCCAGAGCTTTCGTTAGGGCGAAACGAACTTTTGCCATTGGCAGTGCAGGCTGAACATCCACTTGGCGACGGCTATGGCTGCTTGTGAAGACCACGAGCACCGATGGGCTTCCAATTGCAACATATCCTCGCAGACGTTCAAACCTCACACACCTGGTGACTGAGTTCCAAATAGAGCTTGTGAACTTGTATGAATACATGTATGTATATATATATATATATATTTATAGATATATATCCACTAACAAAAACTTGTGTTGTTCGGAATGGAAATGCTCTTTATACATATAGTAAACTAAATTGGAGGTTTTTTTAAAGGTTATGTAGGGCTTTTAGTTAGTTAACAATTTTTTTGATTTTGGCCAATGAGAAGGTTTCTTTGTCTCTTCATCTTATATCTAAGCTTCCTTATTATATAGATGATAAGTGAAGACATAGATAGATCCTATTAAACAAGATAAATTGTATCTAAGCTTCCTTATTATATAGATGATAAGTGAAGACATAGATAGATTCTATTAAACAAGATAAATTGTATCTAAGCTTCCTTATTATATAGATGATAAATGAAGACATAGATAGATCCTATTAAACAAGATAAATTGGCTATTTCATTGATAAAGAGTCACATGCAATTTGGATGGAGTTGGATCTAAGATCTTTTGTGTAGGATTTATATACATTAAAAAGAGTTTTAGTTAGATATTTCTACAAAATGAATGAAAAATTAATAAAGATCTTGTTTGGAGATGTTCATAATGATTTTGATGTCTCTAAAAGTTTGTGGCAATTGTAATTATTGTAGACATAAAAGTTATACTTCTACATTAAAACATGATTATAGACTACAAGTTTATGTAAATATATATATACATATATAACAACTTAGAGAATTATGACAAGAAATCTTAATAAAGATAAGGATATTCTTCTTTTGACTAAGTTTTAGCAATAATATATATATATATATATATATATATATATATATATAATTCTATTTAAATATTAAAATATAATATATAATTATCCACTTTACCCATTAATACCAAATTTTCTTAACTTATATATTGAATTTTGTAGCTATTAAAAGTAAACATGCATATAGTTTAGAAGATTTAATAAGTCCAATCATTAAGAATTTTTTTTGTTGAAGTTTGCTAAAGCTTCAAATACTTCTCTAAAGAATTGAAAACAAAGTAAGAAGTTTTTTTTATAAATTGATAGTTTTAAATGAAGATAAAATATTAGATACCAATTTTTTTATGATTTACTTATATAATTTTATATTCTAAGAATTACAACAAGTAGAAGAAAAATTAATAAATATTTAAAAAAAAAATTATAGATATAAAATTTTTAGAGATTCTTTAAAACAATTAAAGTTATAATATTTTTAAGAACAATGATTAAAAAAATAAAGATATAATATTAAGTTTGAATTAATTTTTTGTTATCATATAAACATATAAGAGAGTAATCTTCTTATTTAATTTTGTATCAATTTTACAAAGTAATTGGAAAATATTTTACCATGTATATAAAGAAGTAATAAAAATTGATGATTTAATTAAGTTAAAATTTCATAAAAATTTAAAGATCTTCAAGTTAGATAAAGCCAAAATTTAAGCATCTAATAAAATCTATCATGAAAACATTTTAACAAAGTTTGAATGGAAGTTAACAATAAGATTAGAATATCTAATTCCTAAGAATCTACATTCAATTAAAAAGTAGTATACCAAGCTATATCAATGAGATTTTTATTGTAAGATTTATAAATAATATATATATTTTTTATTTTATTCTATATAAATATAAATATAAGTATATTCTTATTTAAATAATGATAATTTAATTAAAATGTTATATTTTACTCTTTCTTTCTAATTTTTTACCTTTATTGTATAATTTTTTTAATTTATAAAAAATCTCAACTTACTTTCTAAAAACATTATATATATATATATATATATATATATATATATAATGTAAAAATCATCAATCTAAATTATTTCTAAAATAATCAAATAACTTATATAAAATCTATAATTTATACTATATATATAGCTTATTTAAATTCCACAATTATAAGTAGAAAAATATAAAAACTAATATAAATTAAATTTATTTATTATAAAAATATAAATATGAATGAAATATCTTGTCAAATAAATTCTTCTTTACACAAAAAAAATGTACAACTATATGTTCTAATTTTATTAAATAATTACTAATATTTTTTGAAATTATGGAATGTTAAATAATAATAAAAATAATAATAATGATATTAAAATAATCTTAGTTCTAAAAAGCTAAATACAAAATTAAATTCTATAACTTTATAAACTTAAAAATACTACATCTAATATATATATATATATATATATATATATATAAGTATATAATAGTAAAATATTGATTTGAGACACAAAAGGGATACACACATAAAAATCTTACAAAGAATACCTTCATATATATAAGAAGTTGTTAAAGCCACATCCAAATTTTGTAAAAGCCATATCCTACATTACTATCTCATAATTGATTTTGTCCATCTTCATCTTCGTCCTTTGTTTCATGCCTTCCATTCTCAATCCCTGTGTTTTATTCCCTATATCCATCTCTTGTTCTTTGTCTCCTAAAAATAATCATCACATGGTTTGGATAGTGTGGTTTTAATATCTTCTAATATATATATATATATATATATATACATACATATATTTTAATTCAATCTTTTATTTTATATTTTATTTATAAAATAAAGATATTTTAAAATTTGTATTAAATATCAAATAAATAATTATATATACATATATTTAATTATAATTTTTATTTCTATTTAATTGAATTTGTTTATGAACTTGATAAAATCAAAATCTATATTGAGATTGATTATTAAATAACTCACATATTTCTGTAAACTAGTAAAAAGAATATATAATATAAAAACATAAATAGTAAATATAATCATTTTTAAAATTTTTATTTTTATTTTTGTATAGATGATATTTTATATATTTTTAAAATTAAATTAAAAATATAATAAATATATCAAAATATCTTGCTTAATTTATAATCTTGATAGATAGAAATTTTATAAACTAACAAAGGTTTTATAATTTATATGGTGTCATATTAAGCTTGGCTTTTCCAATGAAGGAAGATGGTTTGGAGGCATCAACATACATGTAATTTGGCATAATTCTAGTTTCCAAAACATGTTATTAGGTGCTATGTTTATAAAAAGAGGTGAATAATTTGGATAAGTGCAGTTGCTTTTGGCTATATTTGGATGAATTCTTGTACAAAGAGATTTTCTATTTATCAAATATCAAAGCAAGTTGTTGGATTAATGCATGCAATATTAGTCAAAATCAGTTTGGTTGAGTAGGTAGTTGTATGCTAGTCTTGCTCAATTTAAAGCATTAGATGGTGTAACAAAGAACTTTGATTGAGTGGATTTTGTGTTGGGTTTTCTTATTGTTGTAACATGTTAGAATAGATTGGTTTACTGGGACAATATAGAGTTTTAAAAGAAGTGTCTCTATTGTTATATCTTTGTTTAATTCTTTGTTTTTTCACTTTCACTATTAAGGTAGCCATCTCATTGTCAACCACCCTCCCATTTTCAACCTAAGAGGTGGGTTATTTCCATTAGTCTAACAACTTATTGTCAACCAGATTTGACATTTGTTGGT